TTTGGGTATCAGCGGCTGGCAGCTCTCTGACAATTATACTTGGGGTTTTGTGGCATTTCACACATTCCCTAAAGCATTAGGTCCTGGATTTCCTGAGTGGTTAGGACAGGACAAGTGTGATGAAGATACAGAAGGTGCTTTGTCCAGCACAGTGGAGCAAGGTGGGAAGAAACAGTAATTAAAAAAATGCTTGCTTGGCTAGGATAAAGGGGAAACAGAGGAGAATACGTGAAGACAGAACTGGTGTTGTGGTTTGCAAAATGGAAGCAGACGATACATTGATTCAAGAAGAAAAGGGATTAGAAGAGACGAGACAAAAAGAGGTGAGATGAATGAACAGAGGTACTTGTAAGCAGGATAGAAAACGTATGAGCAAACTGGTGGGAAATTATCTGGTGCAGCAAGTGCAGCAGTTTTGAGTAGAGTTAGAAAAGAGAAAGCTAACCAGAACCAATATGGTTCAAGATCAACTTCTTCAGAAGATCGCAAACGCTGCACAGATAGAGCCAGGACGCAAATTTGGTGATGTGGAGCAAGCATGGCTTCAGTTTCTGCAGACACAGGCAATCACAAGACATTTTGGGAAGACAGGAGGTTATGGAGAGCCATTTTTCTCTCAGTAAAGACAACTACTGCTTTTGAATTCTGCTCTCTGGGAAACAGCTACTGCTTTAAATGAGGATTCTCAACATGTATACGTCATTAGCCCCACCACCGTTACAAAAAGCAATTAAAGCATAAAAAAATCTTTGGATTATCCACATATAAAGGAATACAATTCATCCCAAGATTATACTGCTCTACTTGCAAGCGTGGGAGTGACACACAGCTTTCCTAAGTTAACAGAAGATTATACAAATCTTTTTCCTGTTTAAGCAGCAGTTTTACACAGGCAACCCAAAGACTGCCATCGAGTTTGTGTTATTTGGGATACAGCTTCGTGGAGGCTGATTCACAGGAATCTTTTAGGTAAAAGCTTACACCACTGAAGTTACTGTACACCTAAGGAAAAAGCAGGTATCTGATGTTCCCATCAGAAAATGATAACTAAATTAAAAGTTTCAAATCAATGTGCTCTATAAGCCATTCTTTAATAGGGCCCACTGCGCCTGTTGGACAATTAGTATTACTCCTGTATTATTAATGCAGAACATTACATAATGGCTTATGACCTGTAATAACTGGCTGAAGTGTTGGATAAAACTTCTCTGAATGACCTCCGTTTACTTTAGGTCTTCAAACTGCGTGGCCACTAATAATATTGCAAAGTATTATTAAAATTCATTGCAGACTCAATTAGTATCTTATTTGAATTATATGAAATTATTAACCTACTAATTTCTGCAACCCAGAGTACAGCATGAGGTGCATTTGGACCCTAATAACTGTTTAAAGAGGCTTAAAGGTGTCATACTTGACCAGACTTCTCTGACAATACAGGACTTGATATTCCGTTTGTCTGTACTTGGATGATTAAAAACATTGAGACTGTCATTATTTGGATGCTTTCTGAGTTTTTAAAGTACATTTAATTACAACCTACAGATTTTCTGTGAAGACAGTGACCTTTGGCTTGTAGATGAGCAGGTGATTACTTGACTGGTTCACTGCAATACCTTTTACATGGTGTGGTTACCTCTAGAACACCCAATTCTGGTTTAAATAACGCTGTGGCAGAGGCAATTCAAACAGAAACAAGAAGTTACAAAAGCTAATTTATGAGGAAACAACAAAAGCAAGTGTATTTGCATTTATAGGTCACTAAACAATTAGAGCCTGGTTCTTTAGTATTTAAGAAAAGAAAGCTCACGCTAAAGTTTTGCTCAAGTAAGGATAGAGAGACCAATCTTAAAATGACAAACATTAATCTGACAGGTGTGCAGACTAAGGAGGGAAAGGGATAATGCAGAGATACAAAAATCCAATAATTGACAATGTACCAAAATTAAACAAATAATACATAAGCGAAAAATTAAATCTATTTCAGAACACAGTTACTCATTCACCTATGGAATAATTAGCAAAATGAATGATGTGACTATGGCAACCTGGAAAATTTGAAACTAACGTATGGTCCAAATGGATCAGTTTTGTGTAGCTAGAGAGATTAAATGACAAAACAGGTCCTTCTCTAATTTCAAATCAAGCAATCCATCGTATCACTCAAATGCAGCGTGGTTAGTAGAACTTCCTGCAGGGAACCACGATATCTGATGAATTTTCATGCTATTCCCTGAAACTACACAACAGAGAAGACTGCCTAAATAAAGACCTTATTAACCTACCTAACCTACATACTAAGGCAGGAGTTGTAGAGTAGCATCACCAAAAAAGAAAGGAGTCTCAGCACTGCTGCCTCCTCATGAATATCGAAGTACATCACCAACAAAGGAAAGCACACCTTGAACGTTTTTTCCATTTTGTTTGAGCCTCATATCGCGATATCCCTGCTGAGCATGAATGGCAAATTTTAAATGTCATTCAGGACCCATTGAATATTGCTAGTATTTGCATTCCTTAAAAAGTAGAAAAACATTAACCTTTTGTTTTATTGAATTAAAATGCCATGGAAATGCTGATGTAGTCTTCAGAGACTGAAATACTTTTACAAAGAAGAATAGCTGTCATTTATTAGACACAAAGAACAATTACTTGATAGGATGCTTTCTGACAAAAAGCAGATTGGTATTCTCATCATAGAAAAGGCATTGTAAAAAAACCCAGCACAGACCTCTGAGACTTGAATAATTTAAAGCTGCATTTGGTGCAATTTGAATTTTTCTTTAGGGAGGCAAAGTTAAATACCTTTAATTTGTTCTAATTATTTCAAATTTGCAAGTTAATTATGGCTGATCATTAAATAACAAAAAGGACTATCATCTCCATAGAGTTTTACCTTCTACCCTATGCATTATTTAAGCTAGATTTTAGTATGCATGAATTAACTTTCTAAATAATCACACGGTTTGACTAAATGGCTCAGTAAAATGAGCTCTGATCCTCAGAATAAGCATTAATGGACATTAGAAAGGCTATATGGGCCCTTGTTACTTACATTATAAGTATTTTTAATGGGGTCTTATTTACTAATCTTTATGTACTGTTCAAGTTAGGGCACCATATAGATACATTATTCTGCTTTAATAGAGGAAAGTCAGTTCTTCAAGATACTAAAACAAATGTCCATTTAGAGCCAACTAAATTCATTTTTAAATGAATGCAGGAAAACTCTGATAGAATTTAATTTGTTTTAGCTGCTCATCCTGATGAATCAATCCAACATAATGGTAGCCTTGGTCTGCAAATGGAGTCTTACAGATCTATCGAATTGCTAACTAACTCAAGCATCTAAGACTCTTGCCACAGGGTAGCGTTGACTATCAGCATGTGTACACCCACGAGGTTTTGCCTCTTCCCTCGTGCTCATCTGCCAGGTTCCCAGTCGTTGGTCCCAAATTCGGGTGCTCACCTTGCACTGAACTCTGATCTCTCCATGCATTTTTCAGTGCAGATCAGTGGCATCCCGAAATCACGACTACATTATAACTAGTCAGAAACCTAAAACGTGAGGCAGTTTGTTCCTCCAGTATATGTTCAACAGATGGCTGCCTTAATGGTACCCTACTGCACCCTGTTGAGGCAAGGGCTTGCGAGTTTAACCATTATCCAACTAACAGATTGCCATGGTAGGTAAGCGCAAGGGCTTGCGAGTTTAACCATTATCAAACTAACAGATTGCCCAGATTGCCGTGGTAGGTTAGTTCCAAAAGCAAACATGTTGGAATGTTATTTTCCTGTTCTGCAATTTCTGTTTTAAAAATAAAATAATTAACAGTTCATGTGTGCAATCTGCTGCAATTATATTAGGCCAAGAACGCATAACACTTAATGATGCAAAACTGGTGACAAGGAGACAACACAAGCAATACGTTTTTGTAGCTGGAACCTGTATTGCCATTTCAGATGCAGTTTGACAAATGGGCTGAAAATTGGTTGCCCCCCAACTTTGGCTGGGAGAGTTTTCACCCAGATCAGCTTCCCAAGTCAGCTCAGTATAAAGCAGCAGTATCAAAAGTGCCAGGACAAAGAAGAAGATGTCAATATACCACAGGGTCTTCTTTTCAGCAGGGGTCCAAATTTAGATCCGTTTAAATCAAGTTATCAAACCACATCTTTGAAAACCACCTGTTCCAAAGTGGGACTGTTTGGGAAGTTGGTTGTCTGCATGGCAAATAAAATATTCGCAGGGAGAAAAGAAGGACTGTAGGCTTTGGATGATTGGATCTAAAAAGCAACAACAGTGGTCTCCCGAACAACCACAACTTTTCAGCCCTCTCAAGTGTACTGTGTTATTCTTCGTAAGCCACTGCTTCCAGAACTACCAAGTGCCTCAGATTTTTCAAGTGTTTTTTTCCCACGTGTCAGGTAGGGCAGTGTGATTACCCTAATCCACATGGCAAAGAAGATAAGAAACTGATGCAGGAAAGCGCTGGGCCCCTGGACAGCAAGCAGGTCAGCGGAGGTGGAAGAGAACTGGAACCACCTCCCAAACACTCGACTCACTGAAAAAAAGGAGACATCTGTAATTAGAGCATATGCCGTGTGTGTCTGCTAAGAGTTAGTCATGAGGAAAACCCTGACAACAGAGGTAGAGCTTACAGCCCTCCTTAGCACATCTCCATCTCAACCCAGAGTCCTCTTCTGAGGGGACACATCCCACCCCTTCTTTCCAGCCAAGCTGGGGGTAAACACATCAAGATGAACAAGCCAGCAGAGCAGCATATAGGAAAGA